GGGGGGGTTCATTTCAGGGGATCAAGGGCCTGTCTCTAGGGTATGATTATGGTGTTTGGGAGGATCTTTTTCTTTTCTTTTCTTTTTTCCAGCGATTCACGCGCGTTTGCGTCGAAGGAAGGTACGGGTTTTTCCTTTCTTTTCTATTCTTCTTCTTCTGTAGACAAAAGACCAGCATATTCATGTCTCATGCAAGGGAAGGCATTTTTTTCGTGTCCAGAGAGGATCCGCTTCATCCAGATTCGGGAGAATGAAAAAAATAAAAATAAATAAAAACATCGCTATGACTCCCCCCCCCCCCCTCTTTTCTTTGGGGGGGAGAGATTTTCCGCCGTCTTCCTCGTGAATTTTTAGAGGGTGTTTAACTTAGTTGCGCGTCCGGATATTTCAGTGTGGAAGGAGTTCAGGCAGTCGGTATAGGATTTGAAGAAAAAAAAAAGGAGGGGGGGATCTATGAGGATTATGAATGAAGGTGGATGGGTGGGTGATAGGGAGGGAGGAGATTATGAATGAATGGAAGCCGTTTAGGGAGAAGAAAATGGGGGGGGGGGGGACGGCCTGGTGAAGCTCGAGATAAGATATCAGGGGATTTATATATGGTACATTTATAAGTATATATACCTCCTGGGGGTGGGGAGAGGGGGAGGGGGCGAAGAAAAACTACGAATCGGGATGGGACACGGCAATGATAAGAAGATGTAGGCGTTCGTCATCGGGCTGAACTTTCTGGTGGTTTTCTCTCTCACTCCCCCGCAATATATATATATATATATATTTTCGTCCGTCAATTTTATTCCAGGAAGGGTCGTCGCAAGTTTTTATTTATTTTCTTTCAGCCTCGCTTATTAGCGAACGAACGGTTTTGGGTAGAGGGAGGGAGAGAGGGAGGGAGGTGTGCATGATCTTGAACCAAGAAAAGAGGGACTAAACTATTACTAGAAGCCATTAATAGATGATGATAATTGGTTTTAGACTTGATACACAGGAAGAATTAAAATAGCCTTGGCGATTTCGGTTGTTAAAAAAGAAGGGAGACTCGTATATACACACTTCTGATTATAAAGGTACGATAGATAATATTATCCCGCGCTCAGTTACTCCCCACAGGTCATCAGCTCACAGCCATATACACCCCTAGCATGTCCCAGTCCCCCACCCACCACAGTTCCCGCCTCGGTAGGAGCCATCGGGACACCCCTCCACATCACAGATGGGTCCATACGTCGCGGCGTACGTCGAGTTGGTGTAGGAGTAGGCTTGGCTTACGCGCCAGTACTCGTTGCCTCTGTACTGGCCGTAGTTGGTGGCGTAGGCGGGCGCCCACGCCTCGCTGTACATGGCGCAGTAGATGCCCTGGGGCGCATCGGCCTGGTTGAGGACGTAGACGACGACCTGGTTGCAGACGCTGGGCTTGCCAGTCGAGGGTGGGTGGCGCGAGTTGTAGGCCGTCTGGCTGGTGCAGGCCGACGTGCAGGCCACGGCGCCGTTGGCGAAGGTCTGGACCGTGGCGAAGGAGAAGAACTTGTAGCCCATGTAGGTATTGGTGTTGGTGATGGGGTCGTTGGGGGCGTTGATGGCGCCACAGAGGGCCGTCGGGCCTGAGAATCCGGATTGGGGTGCTGGGCCGGCGTTTTTGTTGTAGCCGTTGCTGCCCGAGATGACGACCTTGAAGGAATCTAGACGGGTTGATGATGTTAGGATGGACTTTGGGATCGTGACTTGTGGATGGGTGGGTTTCCTACCTCTGTACTGTCCGGTGTTTGTCGCGGTGGTTACGTTGATGGCAATACCCCATCGTACACACTTGATGTTGGTCACGGATGTTGGGTCGGGACAGTCCGTCGCGTCTGGGTGGACAGAGGGGTCACGCTCGTAGTAGAGGTTGAATGCAATACATCCTGCTTGTTTATCGCAGTATGAAGCACAAGCGACGGGGTCATAATGGCTGATCGTCTTGAATCCGAGGTACGAAACCGTTTGGGAGGATGCCTCGAGATTGGAGAAAGCAAGGCTGTATCCTGGCGGAACTTGTGCTGGTGCGGCTGCAGCAATCGCATTATCCTTGAACGGTTTCCAGCTCAAGAAAGACGCGGCGGAATCATCTGGACTATCGGAACTCAGTATATCACGCTCAAGAGGAGGAAGACTATGCTTACATTGTGACTCTAGGCCCAGTGCCTGCAGGTTGTGCGGCGCAATTATCATCACGCCCAACCAACTCACCTCGTCGACTGAGTTCCTCTGTGGTCTGGGCAACTTCGGTGACGCTCTGATCTGCAACGGCGATAGCTGCAGCAACCGGCTGGATAGGAACCGTTTCGGACGTCACGTCTGAGGGAGCCGTGTCCAGGATCGGGTCAGGTGCTGCGTCGACGAGATCGAAATCGATGTCCTGAGGACGAGGAGCTGCCAAAGCAAGAGCTGCGAAGGCCAAGGCGATGAGTGTGAATCGCATAATCGAGGAGGGTAAGCAAGCACCGTGGGATGTCGATCAAGATCAGTTCGCTTGGTGGTGTCTACTGGTCTGGTCTACACTGCTTGCTCTATAAACACTGCTCTACTGGAGGTCTCAACGGGCAAATGGCCATTTCTTATTCTTATAGAAATCAACGAACGCCAGATAGAGGACCATCCCCTAGTCCTTCTCTGGTACGAGAATACAGTATACCTTGAGCTGGAGCAATATAGGCTGAGTGTTGCACAGCAGGCGCCCCATTGAGTTGGAGAGAAGACCTACCACGCGATCGTATGGATAGATTCGGGCTATTTTCCGTATTGAGGCCAGGAAGTCGCAGAAGCCATAAGGGGACCCACTGCCATTCTGGAGAGGGAGTTGTGTTGTGTTATGGCTTTGGTGGCTTCGTGTCCTCGTGGGCTGCTCCCTGCCCGGGCCAAACGGGTTACAATACCTCTCAGCTGAACTTCATTCCCCGATCATGCCAATATTGGATCACGGTCAGCCTGTCACTGTCAGGAGATAATTCCTGAGCCGAGAAGGGAGAGGGGAAAGGGCTTTGCAAATTGCAATAAGTGAATTGCGGAAGGCAACATAGTCGTCTCCGTGGACGAACGTGTATATACATATATACATATATAAATATATATATATATAAATACTCTCCCTCAGGTCAAGACAGACGACAGGGATAATCGACGGCCACACCTATCAAGCTTTCGTTGTACTACTCTGTAAACCCGACGAGGAAGAAGCCAAGAGACTTGAAATGGCAAGAAATGCTTAAAAATAAAACATCGAGCGGATTATCGATTGGGCTCGGGAAAATGTGGATGGATATGAGTTCGGGAACTCCCTTTTGACTCCTTCTGGTCACACAGATTTCTCTTCCTTCTGGACGCCACCCAACGTCATCAGCCTCAAGTGCGCCGCGGAGAGAGATAGAGTGGCTCCATCTGCCGTCGGGGAATAGATGGTCAGGAGCTGACTCTGTTCCTTTTATCGTGTGGGCCGGCTGGCTGCCTACGAAAAGGGAAAGAAGAAGAAAAGGCCACGTGCACACTTCCACGTGCACTCTCAGCAGCATTTTAGAACTAGAACCAATGCCAACCCCCGCACTGTCTTCAGAGTCCAGGAGCCGCATCTGCCTTTTACATGTCCGTATCTCACAGCTATCCATCCGCACGAGATCCGACCTATCGATGTCGTGAGAGCAGCCTCCTCCTCCGTCTCTTCAGCGAAGCGTGAAAGAACACCACAACAACACCATAACTACACGCAACAACCGAAGGAGCATTCCCAGATCCTGGGCCCGCTCCAAGGATCTAAGTTCTGGTTCACACAAATAATAACACTATACTACCGGTATACCTAGACTCCGCGCTCAGAAATCGCTGCAGCTCTCCTCGCATGGGAATGGATCAAGATAATCGGAAATCCCCTTCCTACTATTTGCCTTGCCTCCCTTCTGATCGTGACTAATGCGGCCGGATGGATAGATAGATGGCCCACTCAGCTCAGCTCCGGTCGTTGGAATTTCGAACTGAATAAACGAATGAAATGTTTTCTCAGGCCTGCCTTATGCCGGTCGGGCCGCTGATGTCGATGTCTTGGTGAGGCAATTTGAGCATTATCCATATGATCCTCAAAACCTGCTCAGCAACTAATTAATAACACGACAAGGCCTTGCTTGGATCGCACACTATATAAGCAAGCTGATGCGTGCTCCCAGCGAAAAGGGAGGATGTAATCAGCATGTATTTTCAACGACTGATTCCACGACTCTTTTACTTGTATCATTCATTCATTTCAATCTAGACATCGAGATGCTGATCGTCGATGGAAAGACTTGGTTACGCAATGGCGCTGATCCAAGGAGGGTCTGCGATGGATTGAAGTCAACCTGGAACACAAACAGATCATATCCCTTTTCATTTCCGAATTCTCAATTTCCTGGTTGCTAGATTTTTGGTTTTTAATTTTTCATTTTTGATTTTTCATTTTTGATTTTTCATTTTTGATTTTTCATTTTTGATTTTTCATTTTTGATTTTTCATTTTTGATTTTTCATTTTTGATTTTTCATTTTTGATTTTTCATTTTTGATTTTTCATTTTTGATTTTCCATTTTTGATTTTTCATTTTGATTTTTCATTTTTGATTTTTCATTTTTGATTTTTCATTTTGATTTTCATTTTGATTTTTCATTTT